CTTTGAATCCTTCAGAAGAAATGTTATAGACATCTCAATAAGACAAACGAGCCTAAGTTTGGCCATTTACATCCTTTGGATCAAGGTAAATATCAAACCTTAGCTAAATACCTTTTGATTTAAATAAATATTCAAAAATAGCATTTCAAATCGTGAAAACTTATCCCTATTGTTTATTTAATCATGCTTAAGCTATGTCAAAAGTTTCATAAATTTTGGTTAATGTATTTCAAAGAACAAGTCATTCTTCATCTTAAGGTTTTAGAGTAATACTATTATGAACTATATAAAGCGTGGACCGTTGATCATAAGATTAATGGTACAGATTTTGCCATTCTTACTTAAGTCTGAACCACACCTGTCAGCTGACCGCTCAGTTTTCCATCCAATGGCATCACAATCATTGATTCCAGAATGCGAGATATCAGAGAGTGTCGCGTGGGCTCTAACGCAAATAAGTCATAACCGTGTACACACCGCAGCCATCATTGATTTATTACTAATGAATTCCGGCAGCATAATCTTTTATAATAAATGTGTTGCCGCTCAAACATTTCCATGGTTTTAAACCCGGCAATTAGAGGCTGACGTGTGGCTTGTCTCCGCCGTTGTTCAAGAAAAATCGAATGAGTGGTTTTTTAAAATCCATAAATTAACAAGAATTTTAAAAATGCATAGCAAATTCCTTTTTCACCCAATTTTGGAGTTATTGGACTATGTGGAATAAATATTAAGCCTATTTTAATTAAAAAATATTTTGATCATAAGGTGCTGACCATTGATTAAAGGGTAATTAAGCTTAGCTCTTTAATGATTTTCCTTAATTATATTTCAACCAATGGTCAAATTAATACAAATTTTGGAGGTTTGAATGAAGATTAGGGCATGTTTATAAGCTACTAGAAATTTCTCAATCCTTGGGGAATCTCCTATATTTAGTTATTGAATCTTTAAAGCATATGAGTCATGATTTGACCCAATTTTTTAAAATTCATTATAAATAAAATAACTCATTCAATGAATTTAAATAGTCAATGGGAACAATAAATAGAGCTTTAACATTTAAAAATAAATTCAATGGTGTATGCTAATTATTTAGCGAGTGATTGCATCATTATCATTCTTTGATTGAATTTCTAAGCAATTCGGCTATATCTTAACGTTAATATTTGGAAATTCTTCGATTCTTATTTCCTTTAGATTTAGGACATCATGATTGCTAATTCATCGATTCTTGTTTCTAATTAAAAATTTCAAATAATTCAATAAAAAAAATCAACAAAAATTTATAACATAAAAAAAAGATAATTTATTTGATTAAATTAATCAAATAAATTTGATAATTAATCTTAATTAAATAATTAAGCATTTATGCTTAGTGCTTACTTCCTTTTGGATGGCACCTAGGATTATATTTCAAAGCCTTTAACACATATTAAATTGCCCATGGTCACTTTTATGTGATACTTGACTCCTTTTAGGAGGGGACTTATATATTTGATTAAGAGATTCAATAAATCTTAAATAACCAAATTAAGGGTTTATGTAGAATGGTAGCCTCCATTCACGGAAAGCATGGTGTATCAATTTTCATAACCCTTAATCAAACACAAATAACACCCCGACACATCAATCTTGCTTCCACTTGGATGACATGTGTATTGGATTGAAGGGCCCCTTTCTCTATCTCTAATAAATTGCAAATAAATTTCTTCAAGATTTTATGTGGTCATCTATCCTATATGGAGGATGATTGCATTTCATTTGCAAGTCTTCTAGGATTTATAATTTACTAACCATTGCACTTTGGGATTGGTAATCTATATGTTTTTTATCATTAAATAAAATAACTCCAACTATTAAAAATCTAAATAATAAAATTCAAATTCAAAAAAAGGTAAACTTTAATTACAAGCCTTTTCTGGCCTTTAATAAACAAACATTTAAAATTCATGCAACTTAAACACTAAATCTCTATAGGATATATCAAAGCCACACAACCTCTTTCACACACTAAGATAGTTTGATGAGACAATTAACTCTAACTTAAGTTAGGCCGGTGATATGGATTGATAGCCTGGTGCTTCGCTTGGAGAGTACCCTTTCACACATAGCCTCTTTTCACCCTAATGCTTTATATTTCTACAATATGAAATGTCATACATTTTATCTTTTATTGGTATATTTATGTCTCTTTAAGGAGTGCATTAGAAGCATTAAGATATTACACAACTATTGCACATTATTTGTATGCTAACCCTTTTCTATGCACCTCTTTATATTTCTTGCAAGAGTCATTAGAATGTTTCTAAAAAATGTAATATAAGTGTACAATTGTCTTTAAAAATACATTTGTATATAAATCGAGTTGTACAATGTCTAGAGCTGTGAAAGAATCAAATGCACATGTTTTTATATACAGGTGGGGCCCAAAAGACGATGTCCTTTCCTTTAGAAGCCGATCTCTTTGAAATTCCACAAAATACTTGGAGCTCGAAGATACTAAGCAGGTGTATATGATTATATACATATTGTAGGCTTAAAACCCATATTTGTTATGGTGGAGACTAACCACCTTTTTTCATATAGAGTCTGAGTCTTATAAATATTCGAATCAATAAATAAATGAAATTTCTATTATATAAGACTCTTTCTTTTATTACATTGCATACATGCATTGTATTATATGGTTGTTATATTACATTAACGGGTAGCATTTTTTCTAGGTTTTCATTTGTCTATGTGTTTTGGACTTTGTAGATTAAATAATATAAATAAATGAAATTTCTCTTAAAAAATGTAGTTATGTTAATTGAATAAGATAAAATATAGAGTTCTTAGCGAGTCATTTCATTAGCATCATTTGAACGTAAAGTCAAATTACCCATCTTGAGTCACTGATTCAGAGTCTAATCTATTCCTTTGATCTCTTAGGATAGAGTTAATCTTATCATACACTACATTTAGGACAATTGCATGTGTATTAGGTTGTTAGCTGGCTATTAATTCCAAGCAGGTATAAACCCAAAAGTATTTGCACACCTCCTATCCTAATAAATAATATATATATATACATATGTTAAATATAAATGTATTTTCTATAAAATTTAACAAATATTTTGTGGAAGAGATGATTGGTACTTTCAAAGATGCAAGGCAACTTACTTATACATTTGATTGTATTGTAAGTTTAGATTTTAATCTCCACTTTATTGAAAGTTTTCTCTTCGGAGATGTATTTGACTGTAGGTGCTTATCTCTATAGAAACCTATGATCCCAATATAAAATAAACACTCTCTTAGTTCTCTAAGAAAGGGAAAAAAATCTATGGACGTCTACTAAAGTTAATCCTGGGTCAATTTTGTATTTAAAACGATAGTGTGAATTCGACTTTTATCCTTCGAGATAATTGTTACATTCCCCACGCTGAGTTTGAATATGAAAATAAATAATTTCTTTCCTCAAATCGATAATGTAGTGTTTAGTTTATTCTTTGGGATAATTAACACTAATTATGTAGATTAATTTAAAAAATATTAAATCAAATCAAGTGTCACTTCATACATTTAATTTATCCACATTATGTTTTGCATTAAGTAGAATTATGAAAGAGTCAAAACTTCTCCACATCCTCTTTTGACGTTGTTCATGTCGGATCAAAAGTAGCGACGTTGTTCGTGTTATGCTTTGCACGCATCTTTCGCTTTATCCATAAATTCACCAAAAATGAAATTTAGGAAATTCGGGATTTAGGTCAAAAATGTCGAAAAACATCAGTGAGGCTTAAACTTATCGTTGGATTAAACTTTGCATTTTTTTAGTGTTTGGCAGGAATTAGCTCAAATCTTGCCTAAAGCCAAAAGTGTTTGAAAGAATTGTGTTATAGTTTAGTAAATATTAATAAAAAGGTTTTTTATTTGCGTGGTACAAAAGTAATTACCTTTTTTCTATTATCAGGGGCTGTTTGGCAACTAGTAGAATTTAACTATTTAGGATTTAGTAAATCTTAAAACTGTTAAATCCTGAAAGCTCCTATGAAGCTGTTTGGCAATGTAATCCAATATTTAAGTGGTTAGTTCATTTAAAAATTAAATTTATTATATTTTGAATTTAATGTAGGTGTTAAGTACGAGTTACTTATTAATTGTAATTTTAATTACTGTTAATAAGTTATAATAATAAATAATATAATAAAAAATTAGCTTAATTATCAAATAGTTTAATTAGTAAACTAATTACAAATTATAGTATTAATGATTAAATTGCTTATTTACATGTTAATTTAATAAGTATTTGAAATCTAATTAATTAGTTAATTACTGTTTGGAATAACTAATTATTTAAATAATACTCATACTAATAATTTAATTAGTTATTTAAGTGTTATTAATTAGTTTTAATTATTAATTATACTATTAATTATCTTATTAATAACTTAATTGCTCTTCTACTTATTAATTATTTAATTATTTTTTACACTATTAATTATATAATTAATAATTTCTATATTAAATTATATTAAATGAGCTAATTATATTATTTTTTAATTATTAAATATATCATATTTTTGATTAATTTTAATTAGTTTTATTCAACTAAATTAATTAATTCATATGACAGTATTACTCTGTTCGGCTTTTCAATAGCCGTAGTGTTAGAGTTTTCTTTTCCCTCTTCTCCTACAGTTCAATGTAACCTGCGGTTCGCTTGAGAGGTAAGAGTTTTGAACAAGCCTCTTCACCCCTTTTGACGACGTTCCTTTGCCGTTCTTGTGTCAGATAGAAGGGAGCTCCCTCGTTGCGAAGGTAATCATTTTCTTCATTTCGCGCGCTTCTTCAGCTATATCCCGTAAATCTGCCAAACTATAGGATTTGGTAAATACGGGATTTACGACAAAAAGAGGGAAACAGAGGATTTATTCCGCTGTAAGATTTACGGGGCGCTGAAATCCCATTTGGCCGGATTTACCATAAATCCTGTTGTCAAAGAGCATGCTAGCCGTGTTCTCTTTTCTATTTCAGTATTTCTTTCGGCTTCGTTCCTTCGTCGCAGGAGTGTAAAGTTTTGTACGAGTTCTTCGTCGCTGTTCGACTTCGCTCCTTCGACGACGAGCGGAAGTTACGACATTTTTTGATCGGAAACAAAGGGAGCTCGCTTGCTGTGAAGGTAACTTTCTCCCTTTCGCGCGCTTCTTCGGCCAAATCCCGTAAATCCGCCGAACCAAAGGATTTCGTAAATCCGGGATTTACGACGAAAAGAGTGAATTTTCTGTCAACCGCGGCTTTGATTTACCGTGAGATTTGGTTTTGCATTTTTGGCAGTTTGGCTGGATGTAGCTCAAATCCGCTTCAAATCCGGCCTAAATCCTGCATCCAAAGAGCCCCTTAGTTAGCTCTAGGATTATATTGGTGGATCAAGAAAGATGCGTCATTAGAGGCTGGGTCTCATGGCGAAAGCTGCTGTCATTGAATCTTCCTCCGCTGCTGGCATTCTCCCGCTTGGGAGGCATGCGGCTGGTTTGAAAATGAAAAGGAAGACTCCTTCGGAACTCAGGGTGAGTGCATTCAACCTCCCTCTTTGCTTTCGTTACTGGGACATTATAATGGGTCTATGGGTTATTTAATTTCTTTGTGACTATATAGTTTCTAACTGGATATGCATGATTTGTCCTGTACAACATTAAGTTTGACTACTTCAGATTGTTTGAGTAATATTCTGTGAGAATTCAATGACTCATTTTTACTTGAATTGCAAATTAGCTGGTGGTTAATCATTATTGTTGTTGACATTTTATGCACTCTTTATTATGCTTTAATGTGCATTTGGGCATTGCAGGGTGAACAATTGAAGCAAAAGAATGGTGCAGTACATTCAGATGAAAAGATTGCTAAGATGCTGCTATCTGAAAGGTGTGCCCATACTATTGGTCTTGACCTTTTATTATTATTATTATTTTCCTTTTAGTAAACTCACTGGAGGGGGCTGTTGCTTAAATAGTGGAGTGGATAATGGAGTTAAGAAACCTGAATCGGTGAAGGTTCCTAGATATATCGACACCCGGGTTAATGATGTGTATCCTGTGAGGAAATCGAGTGACAGATTTATAGCCCTTCGTGGAAAAGACAAAGTTAAGGTAAGAGTATTTGCAATCAAGTTTATTTTGGACTTTATTTCTAGTTGAAGTTTGTTAGTTTACATTCATAGATTGCTAGTATTGATAAATTTTCTTATGTTAGCATTGTGTTCTTAATTCATGTTCATTGTTAAAGCAGGATGTCATATCTAATGTTCAAATGGCAAGTGGCCAAGATAACCCTTTTGTTGCTGAGAACTTCTCATCAGAGAACATAACTTCACTCTTACGGTACTATTGTTATCTAGTCAATACTTTTAAGATGTATTTTCAGGTGGTTGACTTGGCAAATTTTTGCTATTATTGGACAAAATATTCTATACATGATTTGTGTTCTATTATAGATGTAAAGTTGGCGCATCTACGAATTTGGGGAGCTCTGACTCATTTAGCAAAGCAACTGATGACCAAGGTTTTAGGAAGATTGAAAAGTGTAGCCAGAGTGCCTTGCGTAATGTTGTTGAGATTCACTTACGTGATGAGAAGCCATTAGATTCTACCAAAGTTGATATGGTAAGCGTCAAGGTTTATGATAAGTTTATGATCTATTCCAATATTTCAGTTTTCTATCCACTTTATTGTTAGGAGAAAGCATTGAAAGGATTGGCTGCTCGTGATAAATCTTCCATAATCAGTTCATACAGTGGTGCTTCCAACAAAAACTATGATCTACCTTCAGCTTTTGCAAGAAAAATACCTCCGGAATTTCACATATCAGGACCTAGGGCTCCTTTAGATTTTACTTTAAAAACCACTCTACGTTTGATCTCATCATCTTCAGTAAAGTGGTAAGTTTAGCTTGACTTTTCAGGACATGCCTTGTAGTTTTTAATTTGAGTTCTTGTTTGGTTTAATCACCTCGGAGCCATCTCTTATAGTTTGCAATTTCTTAAATTTGAAGATATAAATGGCTTGTCATTAATGTGTCATTTTTTTTAAAATCATAACTATTTATTTTTTGTTGCTTTAATGATGTTTGTGGTATTATTGTTTTAAATGAGTTATTAAATCATTATTTTGATTTTATTCTTAAATTTGAGGTTGATCTCCTCTTTGATCCACATATCTTGATTGAACATACAACATTAATTTTTTATTTGCATTCTATTTTTGTTTGTAGAGGTAGACCTAAAATGGCTTGGTTAGAATATTAGAAATTACATTTCTTTATTAGATTTTTAAAAAAATTTGACTCTTAACAAGTCACAATGGAGAAAAAGGATATATGTAGCTGACCCCACGTAGTTGGATAAAGGCTTGATATCGTTGTAGTTGTTGTATTCTATTTTTGTTGAGCAAACTTCTGATAGGCTCTAGGAACATACATATCTGAATAGAATTATTGGAGATCCTTGATACAATTCACATTTTTTTTTTGCATTCTACTATTATCGAATAAACTTTAGGCACATAAATAACTTGTTAGAAATATTTGAGAACCTATTATGTAGTTCATATGATTAGCGAGGAATGAGGTTGGCTTACAAGTAAACAATCTTTGGAAGTTAGAGAAATTTTTTGAAGATAGTATAAAATGGTGAATACACTTATTTTAATTATGTTACTACTTATATTTTGTTTGTTACTTCCCAAATATCATATTGTATAGCAAGGGTACGATGAATTTGCATATGCATCCTCTCTATGGGTTCACAATCATGAGAAATGTATTTGTGTAGAGGCATGCATGTTTCATTCAAACCACAATACATCATTAATATTATTGAACAAAACCTTAATCATGAGATTTACTAGGTAAGATGGTTAGTGTAATAATCAAAGAAAATTAAAAATTTGATTATTTAAAATTGCTTAATTATAGTGGATTTCGCCAACTCGTTATTTTTATTTCTTGGTCCATCATTCATGTGGACATTTTTTTATTAGAACTTGACTCAAGTTTTTCTTTTGGTGGTAAATTGAATTATAATTATTTTTATAGTGCATTTGTTTTGCGATTGCTAGGTTCCTAAGTCCTGGATGAGAAAAGTGGAGGGTTGCATTAAGTAGGCGACAACCAGCATAAATTTTTTTGAATAATCATAACATGAATCCTTTAATATATTATGTTAATGATAAGGCGTTCCCTGAAAGCGATGCGTTGTATTGCCTGAATACAGTGACAACTGTGCAAGGGCCATTGCACCGGTGCCCGGGTGCAGTGTTAAATAAGTAAGGGTTCTCACATTATGGACGAATGCAGGCAAAGAAGCTAGTTCATGAAATTAAAATTAGGACAAGAACTTAGAATATATATTCCCTTACAAGTAAATTAATGAAATTAATATATATTATGCTTATGATAGGAAACACTTGTAGATCTCAAGTATTTCCTATCAATTTTCGGAAAACAACGAGAATTCTTCACAAAAATTTGCACAAAACCAGGAAAACAATAGATAATTTGTATTATTTGATGAAAGTGAAATGAAAAATAGCAAGATACAATTGATCCTCTATTCGAGAGGAGGATCGATCTCTCCCAAATCTCTAGACGCCGCTAGAGCAAAAAAAAAACCATAAATCTAAGAGATCTCAACTTTTAGCCAAATTCCAGATGCCCTAACCCTAGGAATTCAAACTATTTAATGCATACAATTAAAAAAAGAATTCTCTAAACAATCCATACATTCAATTTCCCTCCTAAACTTTCTCAAAAAGCTTCCAAAACGGCTCTGTTGGCTCCTGCGTTCAGATCGGCGCGTACTGGGAGGCAGAAGAGTTCTGCCTCTATCCGCCTGAGCCGGTCCTGTGTGGACCGGGCCAATGGATTGGCCCGGTCTAACAATACTCTCCTCCAAAAGTGCCACCTTGTCCTCAAGGTGGAACGAAGGAAACTGCTGCTAAAGCACTTGATCAACAACCCTTGACTGAAAAATGGACTGATACTGAGTTGAATGATCTCTGCTTCCTGCATCTCCCTAATCAATCTTTCAATTTCATTCTTTTGGATTTGGGGATGACAATACAGATGAACACTGAGAGGTGAAACTACTTCAAGCTGATAGCATGCTCGTCTTCCCGCGGAAGAGGCAATCCTCGAGGCGGCTGAAAAATCTCTTTGAATGGCTGAATCAATGGTTGTACTGAAAGAGGAATGTCCCTGCCCTCCAATATGATCCCCTCCAGCCTATCAAAGCCCTATATGGGGTCCTGGTTGGGTACTCGAACGGGCTTCGCCCACCCATGGTGACTTTCGGGATGTTGTATCCACCTATACCCATCCACTTTCCATGCTCTTTGAACGCAGTTTGCCATGGACTGATGGCCGTGAGTCTTGTTGCTCTTTGCTCTGATTGCAAACTTTCAAGCCGCATATCAGAATTTACCGTAGTTGCAGCGTGGTTAAGTGCTGCACACTACGTAGTGAGGATTGTAGTAATAAAAGATATATGGTGATTAGCAATGTAAATCGATTTATCCCCCGATGTTGAGTACCCACCCATAGCCACCCACAAGGCAATGGGTATGGGTGGGTGTGGATATGGGTACCTAATGCAGGGCTATGCAATATATCTAGTTCCATCAGATAACCTTCCCCACCTCCTGTATGCTCCTCACCTTGGTTTTAAGTGATATCATGGCTTTGGTGATCCCTGCATCTCCCCTGGTCACTACCCTTCTCCCTTCCACCATCAGCTCCATCATCAATGCTCCCCAGTTGACGTTGGTGTCCCTCAAGGTCTGCAGCCATTTCATCCCCGTGATGGCATCGGTGTTTCCTAACTCCAATGGGAGAAAATCCTCCCTTACCTGAACCCCATGTAGGGTCAACACTACCCCCTACATATCCTCTGACCCGTCTCCACCTTCCCTGTACCCATCATCTCTTCATAACACCCTATATCCACCAATGTCACCCACAATAGGTCCACGACCTAGTTAGAGATGAAACTATGGGTAGCCCCATTGTCAATCAACACCACCACCTCCCTGTCTGCTATATTCCCCTTCACCTTCATGGTATGATTCAGAATGAATCCCACCACTGAATTCAGGGAGACCTCCATCATGTCCATATGCATCTTGTCCTCCATCTCTCTCTCTCCCATACTCTCACCTCCCTCAGTTCCCTCGTCATCACATACGGTGATAACCTGAAGAGTTTGATCCCTACACTTGTGCCATGGAGTATACTTCTCATCACATCTGAAGCATAGTCCCTTCACCCTCTTCTCTTACATCCCCCTCTATCAATCTTTTGAAGTTTCCTCCTCCTGCTGGATTCTCCCTGGCAGTCTCATTAATGTTGTTTGATGCAGACCCCTTGGGTGCTAAAAGAGTGTTTATTGACCTGTAAGACCCTCCTGAATTGTTACTCCTGGCTCCCCTCTCATGATACCTTTGATTTTTCACTAGCTGTGCCAACTCCATGACCTCTCCCAAGTCCCAAGTCACAAGGCCTCATGACCTTCACTGCAGCTCTGATTTCTGATTTGAGTCTCTTTAGGAAGTTCCCCTCCAATGTTGTCTCTGAAATTCACTCCACTCGACTGGTCAGATGCTCAAACCTCTCTCGTTAGTATGCCATTGATCCGTCCTGCACTAGTGCAAAGAATTGCTCATAAAAGTCTCCTCCCTTGTCATTTTGGATACGTTCTATTAAACAATCCTTGAACTCTCTCCAGCTTCGTAGCAGCCTCCTATGGTCCCTGCACTGGTACCATGACAGCGCCTTCCCCTCCAAACATAAGCCTGATGTTGTCAACTTCTCCTCCTTCGGCAACCCATTGACGACGAAGTACTTCTCCACCTTATAGATCCACCCATGTGCGTCATCCCCTTCGAAAATGAGCATCTTCAACTTCCTCACTTTCTTATCTCCCCAATTTCCCCTTATTCCTTCATAGCTTCCCCTTTCCCAGATGCTTGCCCCTCCCTAAGTCTCTTTGTCTTCCCTTGCCCTGTCATAACCAAAGCCTCCTTTAGGTTCCCCTCTCATTCCTTCAAAATTAGCACCTCGGCGTCCGTAATATCCCTCTCTACGTTCCCAATCAACACCCTTTTGCTCCTGCCCCCCATACTTATGCCTTTCCTCATACCTACCTCCTCTATCCCTCTACAATCTCCACCTAATCTTCTTCCCTATGAATTTCAAAATTCATATTATTTCCTTTTTACCCTCTCACCTCAGAAGCTGCTATTTGCATTTGGAACTTTAACATCTTCTTTATCATGTCCCGCAGGTCAGCTACTTGCCCTTCCATGGATGAAATTCTGTCCTCTACCATTGTCTTTATTTGGTGGATCTCCTCTTCAAGTCTTTCCTCCTGCGCATCCACTTTCTTGGCCGCCATCACTCCCTGGATTTTTGTAGATTCAAAAATTTGGATTTGGATAACAAAAAACAACTATTTTTGCCGCGGGCCCAAAACTAGTCGCTGAAATTCGCTAGAAGCAGCCCACCAACGGTCCCAAGACTTGCTCTAATACCAATTTGATAGAAAACACTTTTAGATCTCAAGTATTTCCTATTAATTTTCGGAAAGCAACAAGAATTCTCCACAAAAAATCCACACAAAACCTGAAAAACAATAGATAATTTGTATTATTTGATGAAAGGGAAACGAAAAATAGCAAGATATAATTGATCCTCTATTCAAGAGGAGGATCGATCTCTCCCAAATCTCTAGACGCTGCTAGAGCTCAAAAGAAAACCTAAATATAAGAGATCTCAAATTTCAACCAAATTTCAGATGCCCTAACCCTAGGAAAACAAACTATTTATGGCATACAATTCAAAAGTAAATATCTTACCTGTCCCTACATTCAATTTCCCTCCTAACTT